TATATATATTTTTTAATTGCAACTACACAGAATGTGCTCAAACTTTTTCTAGTAATTATTCCCTAAACAATACAGTAGAACCATTATTTATACAGCATTGTATTAGATATTTTTCAATAATCTGGAAGTGATTTAAAGTATGTGGGAAGATGTGCATCAGTTATGTGCAAATACCACACCACATATACAAGAAACTCAAGATGCCACATTTTGGCATCTGAAGGAATTTGGGCATCTGCAGTCCTAAAGGCAGTTCCCCACAGACACTGGGGGATGATTGTAGTTTAGTAGCTTCTTAAAGTTAAATTTCCTACTACCTACACACCTCCATATGACCCACACATTTCATTCCTAGGTATTTCTGAAGGAGAAATAAAAGTGGATATCTATCTACACAAAGACTGTGCATGACACTCACAGGAACCTCACAAGGTATAGTTGCCAGCTGGAAGCCACACAAGTGTGAAGCAACAGGTAAATGTGTAAATAAATCCAGGCAGTGGAAGACTACTCAGTAACCAGAATGAACCACAGGGGCTGGAGAGATGATTCATTGGATAAAGATAATATTCCCAACTAAACCTGATGACCTGAGTTCGATTCCTGGGACCCACATGGTAGAAGTAGAGAACTGATTCCTGCAAGTTGTCTCCTGACCTCCACATGAATGCGGTGACATGCATGTATGCCCACGTTCACACACACACACACGCACACACACACACGCACACACACACACACACCACACACACAAACCTCTATGTAACATTTGGACAAATCTCAGTGTGATTACACTAGAAGAATCACTAGTGAAAGAAGGCATCAATAAAGAACAAACTGTAAATTTCATTTCTATAAATTTCTAGAAAATGTCTGTGCTTCCTGGTGACAGGAGGCAGAGTCAGTGGCCCGGGTATGGAAGGAGGGGGTGGGGAAAGGGCACAAGGAGCCATATAAATATGGTGATAGCTTCACAGTGTTTACTGTCAGCAGCATCCCAGTAAATCTGCTAAAAATAAAATGCAATGACCCAAACACAGATCCCTGAGGCAGAAAGTTCTTCAAGAGCCATCATGTGTTCAGGCTTCATTTCCTGTGGGTAAGCACCACAGCTGGGTGAGGCAGCAATGTGAAGGGAAAACAGCTAGGCCTTGGACCCTTCATTCATGGTCACGGACTTGCTGACTCTCAAGGAACTTTACAGAGAGGCTGGAGCCTGTCTTCCTCACATTGGACACAAAGCTTCTAGAGCTGAGGGCATGTTCCACTCAGCTGGCCCTTCCACAGTAAAGGCAAAGTTGGGGCTCTCTGTTGATTGCCAGCTGTTCCCTCTACCCCCATGGAAGCACTGGTGCCCTAGCTTCTCAGCTTCTAGAAGGAAGGAATATACAGACTGTGGGCTTGGGAAGAGAGATGGAGGGACTGAACCAGTGGAGTGGTTGGTCTTGGGTTCATCTTGCTGTCTTGGTCAGGTGATCTGGGTTTCTTCTCCCTGGGCACAGGGTGGGCAGCGGTGTTCTCTCTTCTTGTAGTCTGCAGAGCAGGCATGACAAACCAGGCCTCTGCAGAGCCTGGAAAGCAGAGACAGGGAAGCCTGGGGTGACTTTGCAGCTGTCTAGGGGTACACAGGGTATGTGCTGGAGGTCATTAGCTCCAGTATCTTTATATCCATCAGTTAGTCCTCATCTTCCAGCTAGATGGCCCTTGGTAATTCTGGAATGCCTCCCCTTTCCTAAAGGATACCTTGGGGGTTGACTCCAGAGCCTCTAAGTCAAGTGTCAGCTTCTCCTGATGCTTCATTTCCTTCTCCTCCTGGTCCTACCCCATGAAGTCAGTGGGAGGGAGGGGAGCAGCTCTCTTATATGGGGGTACAGGGACTTTCTCCCCAGACAGGACCCCAGGAGTGTAGTCTGAAAGGTTATTAGCCTTATCTTTCAAGAATCTCCCTTCTTTGCCCTGTCCACTGTTCTCCTTCAGGACTCTGCTTAGCAGAAGCAGCCAGACGGGGTGACATGAGTGACCAGGTTTAAGTGGCCCCTTAATAAACACTCAGTTCCCATGCCTAGCATGGTGGTGAACATCTGTAATGTTAGCACTCATGAGGTTAAGACAGGAGGATCACAAATTTGATCCTGGGCCACATAATGAGTTCAAGGCTACCCAGGTGTACATAGTGAGTTCCAGGTCTGCTGGGACCAAAAGGAGACCCTGCCTCAAAAAGACAAAACCAAACCAAACAACAACAAAAACCCCTGACCAAACCAGGGGCCAATCAGATGGATCAGCAGATAAAAGTACTTGCCACCAAGTTTGATGAGTTCGATTCCTGGAACTCACATGGTGGAAGAAGAGAACGAAGTTGCATCTGACTTTCATACATGAGCTGCAGCATGCATGTTTGCATGTGTGCAGGTATACATACACAACCCATGCACACACACACTAAGATAAACCAATGTAAAAATATATTTTAAAAAATCAACCAAATCAAACAAAAGCCAGTCAATTCCTTTGGTCCACCTTCCTGAGGTGGGCAGGGGCTGTGGGTTGTCCCAGAAGCCTTTGCATTACCTGCATGGATATCGCCGAGACAGCCGTCCAAAGACCTTGCTGCAACCCACACAGTGTCCAGGGACCATGGCGGACAGCTGCTGGAGTCTCTGCCACTGGCTGTCCTTCTCACTGATGGACCGTGTGGAAGAAGACAGAGAGAGAGAGAGAGAGAGAGAGAGAGAGTAGTAGAGGGGACTCAGAAGGGACAGAGCAGGGCAAAAAGAGAACCATGGAGGTAAGTAAAGACAAAGAGATGACAGTAAGGGTGAGAGGGAGGCACAGAGACACACAGAATCAAGAGAGAAACAGAAACCGAGGGGCAGAAAGATGCAGGAATTGAGAAGGAATGGGAGACAGAGAGCCACTTAAAGGAAGAGAAGGCAAGTTGGGGAGTTAGAGAGGGAGACAGATACATTGGGCAATGAGACAGCAGGGGAGGGGAAGAGTGCCAGAGAGAGAGAGAGAGAGAGAGAGAGAGAGAGAGAGAGAGAGAGAGATGGAGACAGGCACAGAGATATAGAGATGGGGGCAACAAAGAGGGGGGTGTAAAAGACAAATGAAGACACTGGTGAGGTCATGTAAGCATCTCTCACTGAACCTGAGACTCATTAAGTCTGCTAGACTGACAGGCCAATGAGCTTTAAGGATCTGCCTGTCTCCCCTCTGCCTCTGCCCCAGACACTGGGGTTATGGGCACAAGATATCATGCCCAGCTTTTTTTGTGTGTTCTGGGGATCCCAACTCAAGTCCTCATGCTTGGGGGGCAGGCATTTTACCTACTGTATCATCTCAGCCTCTTCACTGTTTTTTAAAGGATATTTAGGAATATAGGTTGTGTAAATTTTTTTCCCAGATAATACACACACCATTAAAAACTAAACAATACACACTAATTGAAAACCAAATAGAGGCCTGCGAGATGGCTCAGCAGGTGAAAGGTACTTGCTGCACAAATCTGGTGACTTGAGTTTGATCCCTGGAATCTTGCATAAAAGCAGAAGGAGAGGTTGGACTACCCAAAGTTGTCCTCTGACCTCCGTATGTGTGCCATGGCCCCCTCAATCACGGACACAAATATGTATAATAATAAATGAAGGTTTTAAAATTTGAAAATCACATAATACCAAAGGGGTTGTAGCAAAGGCATAGACGCCCCCCCACTCCATCTTCTTTTCAGTAGTAAACCATTTCTTACTTCCCCTTCTCCCTGTGTCATCTCTCCTTGTTTTTTTTTGTTTTTTTTTTTCCCCTCCATATTTTTTCCCCTCCATGAACTCACGGAGATCCACCTGCCTCTGTCTCCTGAGTGCTGGGATTAAAGGCGTGCACCACCACGCCCAGCCCATGTTTTGTTTTTATAATTCTGTCTTCTGTGCTTTGTCATTAGATTGCTTCTAACACAAAAAAACATGAGGCAGAGGGAGTACCTCAGTAGAAGACTAGCCTAGTTGGGTTCAATCCCTAGTCTCTCTCTCTCTCTCTTACAGACACCGAACAAAATGAGTAAGACAAATGAATAGTGTTTATATGATATTATATACATACTGATTCCTAAAGAACCAAGTTGTGTGTTTTTAAAATTTACACTTAATTTATTGTGTATGTGTGGGGGCATGTACACAACCATTGTGTACACATGGCGATCAAAAGACAACTCACACAAGTTGGTTCTTTCCTTTCACCATGTAGGTCCCAGATATTGAACTCAGGATATCAGGCTTGGCAGCAAGCATCTTTACCCACTGAGCCATCTTGCTGGCCCAAAGTTGTGTTTTATAATAGTTCCTTTCCTGAAAGTCAGGGAGGCAGGGTCTCATACTGTAGCCCAGACTGCCCTTGAGTTAGTGGCAATCTTCCTGCCTTAGGCTCCTGAATGCTGGGGCTATAGGTGTGAACCATACTCCTGGCTCTTCTGAGAGTTTCTAATTATCTTTCCTTTTTTTTTGAGACAGAGTCTCTCTGTAGCCCTAGCTGACCTGGAATTTACTATGTAGACCAGGCTGGCCTTGAACTCATAGAAATCCACCTGCCTCTGCCTCCTGAGTGCAGGGATTAAAGGATGTACCACCATGCTCGGCCCTAATTATCTTTAACTCTTTGCATTACTTTTTTTTTAACGTATTATTTTCCCTCACATTATTACTATTACTGTTATTATTATTGACAGGGTCTTTCTATGTAGCCTAGGCTGGCTTTGAACTTGTGATATGCGATGCTCCTGCCTGAGTCTTCTATGTACGGAGACTGCAGGTATGTGTCATCATGACTGGCTTTGTTCAGATCCTTCATCACATCAAAAGTGCTCCTGATTCTTCTGCCCATGTGGCATCTTGGGGAATTCCCTTTTCTTTTCTCCTGGGTGAAACCATTGTTTCCTGAATTCCACATCTTCTCCTTTCTTGGTTTACTTCCTTGTTTTTCTGGAGCACATCCTCAACTAACTTCTTAAGAAAGGCTGTGTGGGGGTTAAATTTTCTGAGACTGTTTGATTAATGCCTTTCTCCTTTACCTTCCTCACTTAATTTATGGTTTATCTGGAATATGGAATTCTAGTGCAAGAGTTGGTTTTCCTGAGAACTTGAATTATCACACCACAGACTTGGCATATGACTTCTAACTCTCTTCTGGGTAATTTGTGTCTTCCTCTGGATAATTTGAGAATATTGTCTTTGGTTTTGCTTTTTTGAAATGCTGTATCTAGGCATGGACTGTGTTTGTTTCTTATCTGCTGTGCTGATCATTCAAGGAAATCTTTAAGTCTGAAGCCCTGGGTCCATCAGCACCTGGAAATTCATATTTTTATTTCTGTCATATTTCATTTAATAATCTTCATTTTATTCTTTTTTGGGACATTCCGGCAGTTGAAAAGGATACTGGGATTCCTAGACTGATTCTTTTGTGTGTGTATATATGTGTGTGTTGTGTTCATGTCTGCTTATGCACATGTGTATCCATGCATATGGAAGCCAGAGGTCGATATTAGGTGTCTTCTTCAGTCATTCTCCACTTTATTATTTATTAATTTGTTTATTTTGGTCTTTTTGAGACAGCGTCTCCCTTTAGCCCCAGCTGGCCTAGAACTCACTATGCAGACCAGGCTGGCCTTGAACTCACAGAGATCTTCCTGCCTCTGCCTCCTGAGTGCTGAGATTAAAGGCATGTGCCACCACTCCTGACATTTCTCCACTTTATTTTTTAATAGTAAAGAAATTGTTCTTTTTTAAAAAAATATTTTGTGTGTATGAGTATTTTGCCTGCATGTATGTAAGTGTACAATGTATGTACACAGAGGCCAGAAAAGGGCATCAGATCCCCTGGACCTGGAATTATGAATGTTTGTTAGCTGTCATGTGGGTGCTGGGGACCAAACCTGGGTCCTCTACAAGAACAGTAAGTCCTCTTACTGCTGAGCAATCTCTCTAGCCCTTCTACCTTTTATTTTGAGACAACGTTCCTTACTGAATCTGAAGCTCACTGATTGGGCTAGACTGGCTGGCCAGCAAGCCCCAGGGATCCTCCCATCTCCATCACATCAGCAAATGTGATTATAGACATGTTCTGATGCCTGGTTTTCTATGTGGGTGCTAGGAATCTGAACTCAGGTCCTCATGCTTTCATAGAAAGCACTTTACCCACTGAGCCATCTCCCCAGGTCCCCACACTGATCCCTTATGTTCTATTTCTCTTATGATTTACATTTGTTTTATTCTGCTTTCAGACAGACTGACTTATCTTTGTCTTCTAATCTTTTTAGTAAATTAAACAAATAATCATGTTTTTTTGAGTCAGGGTCACATGCTGTAGCCTAGGTTGCTTAGAATTCATAATCCTGCATCCACCTCCCCAGTGCTGGGATTATAGGCATGAGTGTATATGTATACGTGTGGAGATCAGAGGACAACTTGCAGGAGCTGGTTCTCACCTTCCACCATGGGTTCTGGGGAACAAACTCAGGTCATTAGGCTTGCACAGCAAGTGTGTTTACCTGATAAGTCATCTCTCTAGCACCCTTGGATTATTTGTTAGTCTTTTCCAAGTTGAATTCTCTCTCTTTTCACCTTTAATATTTGGATTTTGTGCAAAAGAATTTAGTTCTGGATGACTCCCAGCAACCTGCTAATTTTAATGGAAAATTGAGACAATGGTCATCTTCCTGAGCTACATGAAAAGAGTGTGCATATGTGTGCATATCCACATGTGTGAGGGTACATATGTGAGTTCTTAAATTTTTTCATTTATTTTTATGTAGGAGTGTTTTGCCTGCATGTTAAGTGCACACATGCATGCAATGCCCATGGAGGCCACAAGAGGGCAACAGATTCCCTGGAACTACAGTTAAGAACAGTTACTAGTTGCCATGTGAGTGCTGGGAATGGAACCAGGGTCCTCTGAAGAGCAATAAGTGTTTTTACCGCCTGACCCATCTCTCCAGCCCCAAGTGTTATTTCCCTAATTGACTGAAGGGCTAGCATGCTTTATATGTCTTCCCATCTCACAGTGAGTTTAGAGGTTTGGAATAAAGCCTGGTGAGCTTAGGCTCTAGCACCTGGAATAGCTGTCCCTGGATAGATCAACAGGTGTAGAGGTCTAGGGAAGCCCAGTGAACAGGTAGAGGTGTGTGGTCTCCTGTCCCTCTTCTGAACTTTTCTCAATCCATGAGTTCCCATCTCATCTCTTAACCGCAATGGGGAGGGGAGCATTTTCTTGAGGAGGTGACATGGATTATTGTCAGGGGACTCTGTAGTTTATATGCTGTCTGTCTTTAGTGACTAAATCAGCCCATCTGACCCTTAGTTTCCTCATCTGTAAAATGAGGAAAAGAGTTCACATATATGAAAGGTCTAGAATGCTGAAAGTTGCCAGTGGAATAAAATCTTTGAGCCCAGCCTCTGCAGGCCTTACCACATCCCTTTTCCATCTGCCCCCACAGCCCCATCCTTACTGAATCAGTTCCAACACCCTCCTCTTCATGGCCTGGACCAGGTCCCGCTGCCCTTCAAGCTCTTCTTCATACATGGCGACCCTCCTCTCAGCCTCCTGCTGCTTCTGTTCCAGCTCTGCCTGCAGTTGGGCTCTTTCTGCCTGGCACCTGGGCACAGGAAGAAAACCAGTTCTGAGGGGGGGAGACTCAGACCTGTGACAGGGATCCCCTGGAGAACCTGGCACTGCCCCTGCAGCTATATATAGGTACAGTATCTGTACCCCCCGCCCCACACAGAGGCACATACCACACACACACCATACACACCACATATTGCACACATTTACAAATACCTCATCACTCCAAACACACACGTGTACACATACAACATACACACACATATACACACACTCAACTTGTACACCACTCATCAAACTGAGCACTGTGTGTGGCCTGACACCTATAGGTAGATTCAACAATTACAGAGAAATAAAAACAGGGCCCAAGCTTGAGTGTCCCTGTAGAGGGTGCTAGTCAACATTTCCGTTCCCTTTCTCCCTCCCTCTCTCTTTTTTCCTCTCTTCCTTTCTCCATCCCTCCCTTTTTCTTTCCCTCCCTTTTAATATATCCACTTTAAACTGTAACTTTCATAGGAGAGGTCTGTCTTTGAAGGCAGGCAGATGCCTGGGAATCTAGGCTGGACACACTATAACCAGCTGGAAACAATTGCACATGGAAGGGAGCAGTGAGGTTTGGGGGTGATTAGTTTGCTTTAAAATATTTCTAAAAGTTATGTTATATTGTCTTTTCAATTAAAAAATAATAGTAAAAATATGGATTTCCTAATTTCCATCTCAGTTTTGGGTTTGGAACCTCTTCAGCTCTATTCTTGCCTTTTTTTTTTTTTTGTCTTTAATGGTTTTCTAGAAGGTTACAAGAAGCTTACTAAATTGAAAATAAAATGGTTACAGCTTCTCACTATGACTTGGTAGGGAGTGTGTCTTGATGGTGGGTGGATGCTGGTGAGGATCTCCTGCTCTCAGCGTACGTGAACACGTCTGTGTGCATATATGCCCCTGAGCTTGGACATGTTTGAGGAGAAGAAGCCTGCAAAGAGGCTTGACAGTGTCTGAACTATTGATTTTTAAAGTACCACTACTTAGCAGGCTGAAGGTCAGAAAGGGGTGTGCTGTCACATCAAACCAACAACGGAGATTCCCAAAGGCCACTCACTGCAGCCTAATGAAAGCCTTGCATCAGGCCTTATCTGGATTTTTCTTAGTAGCTGACTTTAACTTTTTTCAGCTAGTTTACTTTCTTGGTGAGCCTAGGTCCTTTCAGACCACTGTGGGGTGTACATCTGTTGTTCAGGTAGGAGGGAACATGCATTAGGTACGTATGTGTGCCAGTGGCTATTTTAGGTTCTAGCAATGGAGCTGAACCCATGGTTCTAATGGAACTCTAAGTAATTAAGTTTGGTGACATCCCACCAGGGACTGAGATGGAGATTAAAGCAGATGCTCAGGGAGGCTTCTGAGAGAACCTGACATTGAAGCAGACCTGAGAGGTCAGCCTTGTAGGTGTGCAGGCTGGAGAGTTCAGGGACTGGAAGAAGGTTACTGAGGCTGCATCCCAAAAGAATACCAGAAAGGGGGGAGGAAGGCAAAAGAAGAGGGGATGTCAGCAGGGCCCAAGAAGTTATGGGGCCCTCTAAAGTCCCGGAAGTATTTCAGGCAGGGGTGGCAGATTCTCCTGGTGCAGGAGTGGCTATGCGAAGCACAAAGTGTCTTGAGCTCCTCATGCATGCTGGACAGTGAGCTCAGCTTTCCCGAGCCTTGCTTCATTTAGTTTTCACCATGTCATCAGATGGGCAGTATAAGCCTCACCTTACAAGACTGAAAAATAGAGCTGCAGAGAGGGTATGACGTTGGTCCAGGGCCACACAGCATGGTAAGTGAGGGGAGCAGCCATCTGGACATGGACCTGTATGGTATGAACACTTTGTCTTACCCATTCTTTCAGCCACCTGGACCTTGGTCACTGGTCCTGAGTGGGCAGCAGGTGAGAGCGAGTGGCTTCCTGTCAGTCTCTCTATGTCTTTCAGGATGGACTTCTAGGGTTTTATTCACTGTGATACACCTGTCTCTGACCCACTCATAGCCACACAGCTACAGTAAACACTGCTCACAGAATGAATGTCATTCCCCTTGGAATCTGGGTTGGCAAGTGGTGACTCTGCTGTAACTGGCAGGATACCCAGTCTCTGTCTAGTGATGGGCTCTATCTTTGGCTCTCATAACCTGGGGGTCTAGGTAGTACTTGGTCTCCAGGCTCTGGAGTTTCTGCTCTGTCTACAATCTGAGCTGACTTTCTAATGGCTTCCAGACCTCCTGTCTCATGTTACACAATGGGCCACACTTAGAAATCTGACAGCATCCCAGACTTTATGAGTTCAAAGTTCTACTCATGAGCTTTCCCTACAAGCCTGCTCACTGTGACCTCCCCCACCTCTGCTGCTGGTGAATCTGGCTTTCCAAGCCAAGTTTGAAAAACATTCTTGACTCTTTCTCTGAGACCCATAGCCAGCCCCTCACAAAGCCCTGCTTTAAAGATCACCAAGAATGCAGCAGCTTCTCCCCCTGTTACCTTAGTTCTTACAGAATCTATCTCATAACATCACTCTGAGGACCCACCTACAATAGTGCCCAGGTTGAAATGCTAAGTGAATGTCAGCTACACTTGACAATTGATAGTTATGACTATCAGGAGGCTGAGAGGTTATATAACAGGGAACAGGAGCAGGGAACAGGAATGGTGGCTCATGCCTGTTATCCAGCACCTGGGAGGCTGAGGCAGGTGGATTACCTTGAGATTTAGGCCAGCTTGGGCTACATAGTGAGTTGCAGGTCAGCTTGGGTTACAGAGTGGGAGCCTATCTCAAACAGAATGTGTGTGTGTATGAGAGAGAGAGAGTGGGGAGAGAGAGAGAGAGAGAGAGAGAGAGAGAGAGAGAGAGAGGGAGAAAAGGAGGGAGAGAGAGAGATGAGAAGGAAGGGAGAGGGAGGGAGAGGGAGAGGGAGAAAGGGAGGGAGGGAGGGAGGGAAGGAAGGAAGGAGGGAGGGAAGGAAGGAAGGAAGGAAGGAAGGAAGGAAGGAAGGAAGGA